AGTGTATCAACTTTAATAGAATCAAGTAAAAGAGTAAGTATCAAATCAGTCTTCTTTACTAAGTAGATTATTAGCAGAATCTCTGATAATCCATTAATGAAAATTGCTTGTCATTATGTAACAACCACCAGATCAGAACAGGAAAAGATAAAGCCAAGTTAAATGTAAAACAAGACACCAAAATATTTGAAAAATGTTGTCAGGATAGGAGAAATTGATGAGTGTTATAGTGACACATTGTTTATCTGTCTAGATTTTGTTAGCAATTGAGTAAGATATTTTTGTTATCCAGTTGAGTAGAAGTTATAATCAGGTTTGATCATCTCTAACCAGGAAGAATAAACAGGAATAATTTTGTGACAGAAATGATTCTGCTAGAATACCCACCACCCTCCTAAATAGAAAAAAAAATGATTGAATGAATCTGGTTAAATTATGGTTTGATCAAAATTTTCTTTGATTGTTGTAGAATGATTGAGTGCTATGGTTTCACATCTGTGACCTGCTGACATTAGCTGTGTTCGACTAGGTATGAGAGGATGGTTTGCTATCATGTCACCTTTTTGAGAAATGTTTCCCTTTGGTTATAGTAAGCAGATTGTTATAAGCTGATTGGTTAATATTGCTAACAGTATTATGGTGTAAGTGATAAGCTGATTGGTTAATATTGTAAACATTATTGTGGCGTAAGTGATAAGCTAATTGGTTAATATTGTAAACATTATTGTAGTGTAAGTGATAAGCTGATACGATGATTAGGATGAAATGCAACAGAAAGTAACTGATTGACAAGATAAATTCCATTAAGAAATGACAACAGAATAAAAAAATGAAGATATATTCTAATAATTCAAGCAGAAATGTAAATGATACAACAATCTATGAAGATACTAATAAACTTTATTGATACTTGATTTCCTGTTTTACTTCCAAAGAATTCAGGTGTGAAGACAGAAAAATAATAGTTAGAAGAAGGATGTAGTAAAAAGGCTGAATGATGATAATAAGAAAAAAGCAAGAATAACAATTTTAATAACATAAATATTAAGAAATAAGTTACAGAGATAATAGGAAGGATCATGTAATAACATTCTCCCAAAGGTCAATAAAACAATGCATTAAGAAAAATATCACTAGCCTATAATAAAATGTTTACTGTAATTATTTTCCTAGTTTTTAAAATATTAGATATTTTTATCACTAGATGTATTTGTTTTCCTAGTTTTTAAGATATTAAATATTTTATCACTAAAGCAGAGAAATATTTTGGCACTTATCATGAATGAGAAAAAAATTAATTTTATTTTTTGGTTTAATAAAACAGCTATTAGCAATTTTCAAATTAAATCTCGAGGCAAGTATAATTTAAATGACAATCAAAATGTCTTTGGGAATTAGATGATGTTATTTATACAAGAAAAATATTGGTCATTTATTTTGTTGGCTGATTTGTAAATACTGTGTTCATTTTTTATTTTATATAAAATTTATTTCTTGTGGTTGAAATAAAAAAATGTATTAAATTGGAAATGAATCCTTTATCTAAAAAATCTGACAGAAAATTAATAATTTGGTTTGTTTTGTCAATTTAAAGATAACTTATTTCTTTGGAGAGCTACTTAGAACTTAGTCAAAGCAAATTGTATGCTCAATGTTAAACTAATATAATAAATACTTTTAACAAGAAAACAGGTAAAAAATACTTGATACAATTAATATTTCCTGCTAACTTATTTTCAGTTATATTTTATGACAGGTGTTTTAAATCTTAAAGAACTGAATATAAATAATTGCAATCTTCTAATTTATGTTATTTGACTTGCATCATGTCACTTGCATCATGTCACCAGCTGCTGTAAGCTATTATGGTCAGGTGGTATAGTGGATAATGGCTCAGAATTCTTCATTATGAAGCCAAGTTCTATGGGAATGGTATAAATCCACATCTTCTCTCCCCTGAGCTAAGGGTTAATTAATAAGGAGGCATGGTGGAGTAATGGATAGCGGCTTGGATTGAGGAATCGGAGAACCAAGTTTGAATTCCAGTCGAATCCATTACATTCACTTACATGCTAACACCCTTGGGAAAGGTGTGAATCTTCTTTCTTCTCCCTCCAGCTATGGGTAAATAGCAGGACAGACTGGGTTGTATAGCCTTGGATGGCAACTGGTCTAGGAGAAGGAAAACTCTGAATTCAAAACCTGCTCTTAGAGGAGGGTGAATGGAGTCTCTCTGAGCCTTGGTTGGCAATCCATTTAGTGATGGTGTCACGATAAAAAAACACCCTTGATAGCCCTAGCGAAGCATCAAGAATTCAGCTATTTGACAAGATTATGAACTACACCAATCAAAGTATTAGTGAGTTCAATCTCGGCTGAGGCCACAAGATGATGATGATGATGATGAATTGATAAGACTGCTACCACTAAATCATCATTATCTCCAAAACAACATTCTCTTACAATCTATATTTTATCTTCTGACTTGAAATAACATTCAAAAGGTTATTTTGATGGAGCCCAGAAGTGTATAAACAATTATTTAACATATGTAAATTTTAGTATTGTTATCAGACATTTCTAACATAGCATTCCAATATGAATTGGTGAAGTTATACTAAAACTTTGTCAATGACTGAATTTCTAGCAGGCTCAGTTTAATTAGGCATGAAAAAGAAGCTGTACCATTATTCAGAGGTGTTCAGCTTGTGTTTTGTCACTGCTCTCTGATGGATTTTAAACCAGAAACCAGAAATTTTTTTCAATGAGATCAGCAAAAAGAAGAACTTAATTTGGAATTCTCCTTCCAAACACATGATGATCCTTGAAGCTATGACACTGTTATACTATGGCTTTAGAATTTGAACTTATCTAATCTGATGACAAACATGATTAATCAGAGAAATCAAATTTTCTCTAGTGAACTTCTATAGATACCAATTATTTTATTATTCAGTTTTAGGAAGTTATTCATAAAGACAAAACCCCTTTAATTGAACTAAGTATCTGTATCTGTCTATATTTCTGAGACGAGGTATTGTAACTATTTACACTATTTATATTGTTCAGACTGTTGTCCTCATCTTTATTGCCATATTCACCTTCAATATCTGTCTATATTTCTGAGATGAGGTATTTTAACTATTTACACTATTTACATTGTTTGGACTGTTGTCCTCATCTTTATTGCCATATTCATGATATTTTGGGCATCCTATGCTCCAATCTGTCCCGGTGGACAAAAGTATTAGTTGAAGTAATCCATAAAGTGACTTAATCCAAAGAGTTCTGAGTTCAATACCTGGCCACATCAGAAGTGAACAAAAACTTGGAGAGTTGAGTTACTAAAAGGAATTAACTGAAACTGAGATATCCAGAAAAGGTATGGCATGTGGAACTAGAACAATCTACCCCTGAGGACTAAATAAAGTGTTCGGTTCAAAATTCCAACATATATCACCATAAGAAGGTTGGGGCATACAACAGCTGAAATGTTGTGTATATGACAAAATAAAGATGAGGACGACAGTCAGAACTATGTAAACAGTGGAAGTATTTGTAATAATTTAATTAAAGAGAAAATATTCTTGTTAGAATTTTATTAGCCAAGGTCATTCTAAACATTATGTATCATTGATTTAGACTAATCTCCTTGTTGTTTTAGCATTTTCATAATATTTCAACTGTGTACCTCAAGCCTGCCTCAGGTGTCTGTTGTATTCTGGAATATAGTTGAATTAGATTCCAGGATGACCAAAGGTTACATGGCTGAGACATAAAAAAAACAAAGATAAGGAGATTAGGCTGAACTAGTACGAGTTAGGGAATATGTTGATTAATTCCTCTTCTAAGGTTCACCCAGTGTAGGTTCTTTTGAACCAATGAAATAGGATTCATTTCACAACACATAAAAGTGCTTTAGTTTGTTTTATTTAAAATAAGTGTAAAGCAATTTCATTGATTGACCAATTCGGTTTTTTTTTTACTGCTTATCAACATTTTGGAGGTTATTTCAAGTCAAAAGATATTTTTTAAGATGTTAAGAGAATGTTGTTTGGGTGATAATAATGATTTAGTGGCATAAGTCTTATTAATTAACCCATAGTTGGAGGGGGAGAAGAGTTGGATTCATACCATTCCCGTTCTTGTTTTCTGGACTAGTTTATCTGTTATTTTAATTATAAATACAGAAGATATTTTCCCCGATTCTCAGCACATTCAGATAATCATTTGAATGTACTTTGGACTTTATACATCAAATCTAAGTAATCCTTCCTACCTAAGCAGGAGGGGTTGTTAGGTCTCAATGTTATTTATTTGTAACTCATGTTGCTTATTATCCTGAGTAATTTTTCCCTAATTATATTTTACTCACAGTGTACAAATTTGTAATTTTTTGTCCTCTATTGAAATCTGAAGAGCAATGAATGATAACTGCTTTTCTACTTTTTTTATTTATTTATAATTTTTCAACTTAGAATTTTACACAAAATATATTTTTTATTGTTTTCCTTGTTCTCCCACCCTTTGTTTTAATATACTAGTATGTATTATATATTACATTTTGAGGGAAGATGGTACATAATGAGCACTTCAGGGGAGCCATGCTTGTATGAATAGATGTTTTGCAATTGAATCCTCAAAACTGCAGCATGGTGGGCAACTGACAATTGATTGGTTAAATCTGTGTGGGCTTCAAATCTTAACATTTTTTTCAATTTTGTTTTATTTTTGAATCCCTCCCTCACTTTCAAGAGAGGAAAATTAAAAGAATAATGGACACATACTATTGTATATAAGTTAATTATATATACTTTTTTTACTGTTTTATTTAAAGCTATAATAAAATTCTGTACTCACTATAAAATTATTTAAGATTCATTTTAGCTTCTTTCGAATTCAAAGGAAAAGATGTGGCCCGTCATGACATGAAACAGTAAAAAGGCATTCAACAAGTCTAATCAACCAATTAAAAGCTTGCAAAGAATGTGCTTACTCACCTGGTTTTGTCTGACGCCCTCCAGTACTGCATTAAAATCTGCAATTTCCCAGTCTACAAATTTCTTGATAAAAACTAAATGTCTATTAAGATACTCAGCATAATTGATCAGTGTGTTGTCTGACATAAGTAGATGATCCTTTAGCTGGGAGGCACCCAAGTGTCTGTCTAAGAACAGCTTGATGTTGTCTGCAGTGAGGATCGCGTCCGCCGCTGCCAGGAATATTCCCAGGAAAAACACAACAAGCGCAAACAGGATGAGCTTTAAAAATAACTTTGATCCTAAAATCCGCAGAATTAGCCTGCAAAATTGTATAAAATACTGAACAAAGCAGAAGTCTTTGAATCGTTCCCGTTTCAACTTGGGCTTCTGGCGCCGCCGGTGGTTCCAGATCTCCTTCAGGATGTCCTCTTTCGATTTGGTCGGCGCCTGGGCAAAGTAGAGCTCGCTGGCCGACCAAATGTCCTCTTTGTTGTCTTGATAGTAATTGTATGGATGCTCCAGAGGATTGTATGGCCGTGGCGCTGATCTGCCAGTTTGTATTGCATAGACTTTGCAGGACACCGTATCCATAGGCAGCTTTTGTACATAACCACACCGAATCTGAGACAGCATGCACTTCATCCACTTGAACCGATAGAATAGTAGCATTGCATCCAGAATTATAAAAACACCCACCAAGATGGAGAAGAACATCTTCCCACCGCCCATGTTAATTTCACGCTTCTCCTCATATTGAATGTCTTGGTAGTAATCGCGGTTACTAGTGTCCTCATAGTCGAAAGCGTGCGACAGCAAGTAGCGGAACACATGCCTTGTTTTAGACAGCTCCCAGGTGCTCTCCTCAAGTTCTGCATGTAGCCGAATCCACACAGACTTAATATTTCTTCCTGGATTTGTGGCCAAAATTTCATTTCCAGGAAAGATAGGCTTAGACTCCATCATCCTGGACAAAGAAAAAGATATAAGTCAATATGAGCAAAGAAGAACATTATTAGTTATATTACATATTAAATACATAATAATACATATAATTTTAATTATATAATGCATATTAAATACTGAACCAATTGGGGAAATGGTATACAAGGGTTGTGTGTGTTAATTTTCCATTGTCAGGCATGTTTGTTTAAATTGGATTTAATTCTTTGAATTTGATAATTCTGATAACCGACAGTTCTTTAATAACAGGCTTGTATAAACAAAATGGATGCTTAGACTTAGAATCAGAAAGAGACAGCTGATATTTCTATGACACATAAGGAGGAAAGAGGGCTTGGAGAAGTTGACACTCACAGGGCATATTGAAGGCAAGAGGGACAAAGGGAAACTGAGTAACCTACCTAATAAGTTTCTGTAAATGGATAGCAGAAGAAGGAATGAGGGATATAGTGAAAGACAAACCTTACAAAGATTTACAGAGGATAGGAAGTTGGAGAGTGCCATGATTGCCTATGTCCTGAAGCGACATAGCACATAGAAGAAAAAGAAGAAATTGCAAAGAGAAAGAGAGAGATGGTTATATTGAAAAATTAAATACTGAAATATTTGGTTCATTCTATCACTTTTGGAAGTACCTGACTCTTGTGTCCATGCTTAATCTTTACAAGTGTCAGATTAGACTAAAAATGGAAAATTGCTGTCATGTCTGACCTCAAGCTGCACAATCTTCCCCCATTTTCCACTCTGTAACCTCTTCCTTAAAGGCACAATGTTGCAAACCTATCACTACTCTATCGTTATTTCCAATGCAATGTTCCATTTCCATGGCAAATGTTCAGATTTCCATCAGTCCAGACATTTACAGCTGGGACACTTCTACATGGTTGAATCACCCTCGTTTCCTATATATTTTCAATGTAAGAAGAAAGTTCTATTCAGATAGATCCCCCCCCAAATGCTACTTTGAGAAACAGACTCCTATGAGGAAGCTTCCCTAAGCATTATCATTTTTTCAAGTCAATAGTCAGTTGTTATCAATCTTCTATATCCTCCCTTTCTACCACTTCTTCTTTCATACATAAAACACACTCCATGCATCATAAATATTTGAACAGTAACCTTCTACAAATTAAAATAGTTATATTTTTAAAGTGCCTAAACAATGAAGCATAGTCATTAATTTTTTATCAGTTTTTTTTTTTTTTAGTCTTATCGCTATTGCTTTTTATTGCAAAACTGAAGTCATTTTTATATTTTTTAACAGTTAAAGAAATAGTAGATGTTGGGAAATTGGACCCAAATCTTAAAATTTTATTATTTTAAAAATAAATCTTTAACATATAAAAAAATAAACAGCTTTTATCATTACTTCACTCAATACAAGGCCTAAGGTCCACTTAAGGTACAGTGAGTGTTATGTCGTGTATATTGCTTAGTAAGCATTTCACTTCCGTTCTAGTTGTTGTCCATTTATATTATGAGCTACCTGCTCATATGCAAATCATACTAATTTGCATATCACTACATCTCCCTATAACGGAGGGGCCTTATGCTGCGAGTACTTCTTCTTGTGCCCTCCTGAACATCTTCCTTTATCTCTCTCCTTTCCCTTGGAGATCTAGATCTATCACGTCTTTCCCTATAATCAAACTGTTCCTCTTGCATACTGTGGTCTTCCTCTTCTAACTTGTCCCATTCTACTTCTTCCTCCTCTAACTCATCCCTCTCTACTTCTTCCTCCGCAGTTTCATTCTGCATTAACTCTTCTGTTACGTCAATAATGGGCATCTCTGAAGGCATTTCCTCATCCGATTCTTCTCCATGGGATCTTATTCGGTCAGCATGAGCTAGAATACTGTTCCCATTTTCTTTATTTAATATTGCAGTATTATGTCCTTTCTGCATAATAAATTCGGCTGACTCGGGTTGCATATTCCTGTTTCTTTTGTACCACATCTTTTGATTTGTGGCATATGACATTGTCAAAGGGGACCTTAATTGTCTGCCCATTAAGGCAGATGGACTTTCCGGCCTGCCTGCATGTGGAATTGTTCTATAACTTAATAGTCTTGGTAGAAAAGTATCGACTTCCTCCTTCTGTTGCAAGCATGCTTTTATGCCCTTCTTTACCGTCTGGACCATCCTTTCCGCTATCCCATTACTTTGAGGGTGGTAGGGAGGGGTCTTGTAAGGTCTGCATCCTATTTTTCTTAACCATTCATGCAAATCAGCATCCACAAATTCTGGTGCGTTATCAGTCACCAATGTTCTCGATGTCCCATTCCTCGAAAATATTACTCTTAATATTTGTTTTACGGTGGTACTTTTTTTATCAGGTACACTCACCACTTCAGGCCAACCTGAATATGCGTCTACTAATATTAATAATAGTCCTATCCCATTGACATAGGCATGGTCCATGTGTACTCTGCTCCATGGTTCTACTTCTCTCGGGGCCATACATGTATTTTTTCTTTTGCTTAAAATTCCTAAGTTCTGTGCATTTTTTGCATCTTCTTATGTAGTCTTCTACGTCTCTTGAGTACCCCGCCACCAAGCTTCCAATTTTAATCTTCTTTGCGTAGCTGCCACTCCACAATGTGTAATGTTATCGTGTACACTTTTTATAACCTGTCTCCTCTGTGTTTCTGGGGAACTATCAAGTCTCCCTTACATATTATCCCGTTTTCTATAGTCATTCTATGTCTAATTTCTTTGAATGGTCTTTCAGCCATTGAACAATTTCCCCAGCGATTCTGTTTTATCCTTGACATTATTCTATTTAACACTGGGTCATTTGTAGTTTCAGTAGCCATTTTATCTACAGATATTACATCGGTTTCTACGAGGTGCAAGAATGTGTCTTCAAATTCCTCGTCATTTTTGTCCTTCTCTTCTCTATAAAACCTGTATTCCCTTTAACATATTCAATGTCAAAGTCGAATGCCATCAGTCTAATTGCCCAACGCAATATTCTGGATGTTGTAACTTTCGGTAGCTCTTTTCTTGGGTTGAAAATAAATTCCAGTGGTCTGTGATCACTTTTCAACAAGAATTTTTTTCCCATCAAAAACTGTCTTGCTCTATCCGTTGTCCACACTATGGCTAGTGCCTCCCTTTCTATATTTGAATAATTGTGTTCAGTTGTTGTTAATCTCCTCGATAAGTACATTATGGGATGCCCATCTTGTGACAAAATACCAGATATGGACTGCTCACTAGCGTCAGTAGTTAGAGTTATGTCCTTCTTAGGGTCAAAAATTTGTACTATTGGCTTTTTTGCCAGAATCTGTTTTAAGTTTTCAATGGCTTTCTATTGGTGTTCTAACCAAATGAATTCCACATTTTTTTTTTTTCTTAACTTAGCAAATGGTTCTGTCAACTCATTATATTTTGGTACATATTTTCTATAAAAATTTACCAAACCTAAGAAGGACTCCAACTCTTTTTTTTATTTTTTAGGTGTAGCAACTTTTAGAATTTTCTCTATTAATACTTTATCTGGAGAGATCCTTTCCTTTGATATTGAGTAACCCAAAATGATATTTCATTACTGTTGGTTACACACTTTTTTGTATTTATTGTCATACCAGCGTCTCTTAGCCGGTTCAATATATTTTCAGTTTTTTTTTTTTAAATCATCTTCATTTAAATCTCCAACACATATATCGTCTTGATAACAGATGGTATTCTCAACATTTCCTATTACTTTTTCAATAGCTTTTTGAAAAATTGTACTTGTTGCTTTTTATGCCATACGGCATTCTTTTCCACCTTAACAGGCCTATAGGTGTGTTTATGGTCGTCACTTCTTTAAAATTTTCATTTATCGGTATTTGGTGGTAAGCTGATTTTAGGTCTATCTTCGAAAATACTTTCATTCCAGCAAGTTTATATAAAGCTACTTCCACATTCGGAATAGGGTACGAGTCAGCACAAACTTTATGGTTCACCCCTATTTTATAATCTCCACAAATTCTCAGGTCACCATCTTTTTTTTTCAGTACCACAATGGGTGATGCCCATTTACTTCCTCCTGGAGGGGCACGTTCTAATAAGTCTTCCTTTATTAGCTTTCACAATTTAGCTATTACCAATGGTAATAAATGCACTGGTATTTTTCTCGCTTTGTAGTAGGAGGGGGAAACATTTTCTTTTAATTTCAAGCTAGCTTCATAATTTTTTAATTTTCCTGTTTTTTCTATTTCTATCTCATTAATCAACTTCGTTGAATTTATTTTTAACACGTCATTCCCCAGTAGTCCATGCGTTTTTCGGCAATTTGTAACTATAATGGGTACTATTTCATATTTTTCTTTTAATTCTATTGAACCTTCAAAGTAACCCATAATTGCTATAATCGAGCCATGAAACTGACGTAGTTGTACGTTGGTTTTTTTTAAAAACGGTTTTCCCATTTTTTCCCACAAATTTCTGGGTAATATCGTGACCTCACTACCTGTGTCGATTTGCATTTCGACAATACAGTTGTTGATTTTCACTTTTATTTTTGTATCTCCGTTCTTAGATCCAGTATTTTGTATGTTATCCTTTTTTACATTAAAAATCTGTCTATTTTCATCCTCTACTCTTTCCACATTTTTTGTTTTACATACTTCTTTGAAGTGATTCTTTTTTAAACACTTTGAACACATCTTTCCAAAGGCTGGGCATTTTTCTTTTTTCATTTCATGAATTTTTCCACAGTACGTACAATTTTTTCTTTTTGTTTGTACCGTATATGTTTCAGCCATTATTTCTTCGGATTTATTTTTATTTTGGTTGTAGGTATGTATTAATTCCTGCTGTTGTATAAATTCTATACACATATTCAAAGGCATGTTTGTAAGTTGTAACTGTTCCATTACCTTATATCTACGTGCTGAATTAGGCATACCTTCAATTAATCTTAGTTGGATTAATTCTTCTTCCGTTGTCTGCTCTCCTGTTCCTAGTTTTTCGAATTCACAGTATTTACTTACTCGCACTTCTTAACCGGTGTAA